TCCACAATTCTAAATCAAAATATGTACATAATCAATATAAGAGTATTAAATATTAGATTATTTCATAAAAATCATAAAACATTTAATATATTATACAATTTTAATTTATATAATATATTGACTATAAATATATTTGAACATCTATATAAATGTATAGACATATATATTTCTGTATATGTTTATGTTTTAAAAATATATAAATAAACAAGTTAACAAAATTATTTAAAAGTTATAAATATATTTTTGTATTTAATATATATACATATATCTCTAATATTTTCATACATTTATCCATTTATATGTATATATTATAATTCATTTCTGAAAATAATTTCCAATCAAGTTGAGTACATATGATTATCTTAAACAATTGAATATGTATAACAAATTAAATTCAATAAGAAACTGAATATGAATACAAATATTTTTTAATATTTTCACCAAGCTAAATCAAACAGATGATGATTCGATTCAATTTATTTATCCCACAAGTTGTTATCATTGTTTATCATTAGCTCCCACAATCCCTAATCCCCCAATCCCTCTTGACTTATTTATGTGTTTATTTATTTATTTTTTGTCTTTTAGTTGGTGATCAAGGCATTGGGTCACTGATAATCACATCAATTAACAGTTGTATAAAACCGGTGATACGGTATACCGGTCATTGATTCGGTATAAATAAATATAAGATATAGAATTTACATTAATACTAGATTGTACAAGAGTTGTATAAAAATATATGGTAAAATACCAAAAAAATACTTGACAAAATTGCCGGTCAAGAATAAAAAAAAAAAAAGTATTGACTTAAACAAATTAAAACTTGAATTTGTAGTCTTATTTTTATTTTATTGAGAAGTTAAGACTCAGTAATTATAGTTATTTATTTATTTTACACTAAAATATATATACTATTATATTTGTTATTCTGATAATACCATGTACGGATGACTAATTTGTATAATTAATTACCCATATGATGATATTTCAAACACTGCCTATCTAGCTACCATCCATATGAATTAATATTTAATAACATAATCTTTTTGTGTCAATTATTTGTGTGGGCTAGAAACTGTGAAGGGGCTATGTTAAATTTTATATTATCTAGGCTTGAAATTTACGAGAATATATAGGCAATTGTATTATTAGTGATGATACCATGTGAAGACTACCATTTTGATTATGAAAGCGATATACCTTTCTATATTGTTATTATTTTATATATTGACTGAAATTCGTTATGAAAGTGAAATACTTTTATTTATTATTATTATTTTATTTATTGACTGAAATATAAGTATTCTTTTTTTTTTTCAAAACGATAGGCATCTCATATAACAAAAGATGAAACAATGTCCAAGACAATAAGTTACAATGCGAGAAATGAGAGACCTCACAGACGAGGTCTACAAGCCAATAACTAGCATAGGCAGCACATGACTGAGGCCCTATCCTAGTGAAACCAATACAACACAAATCAGATGATAAACCTCCCACAAGACCTAGATCATAACAAAACAACCAAACTAAATGATAGAGAATTCCTGCCATTCCCTGACAGCTTGTCTAACCAGAGAAAGCTCAGAGATCTTCTCATTCTGAAAAACCCAAAGGTTGCAGCTTTTCCACAACCACCAGAGCAAGTACGTAGTGATCTGAATCCTGCTTTCATCAATAGCTTTAGAGCTCAGAGAGCACATAGCCCACCACCAGTCAGAAAATGGAGCATTTGGAAGTGAGAAGCAGTCCCAACTAACATGAGCTAAATCCCATACTCTTTGAGCCTTGCTGCAGTTCCAAAAAACATGAGTTATAGACTCAGCTTCCTCCCCACAAATAGGGCAGATAGGATCGACAAAGTCCTCTACTACACAAGTGCATACTGGCAAAGTCCCTGTAATACACTTCCAGATAAAGTGTTTGATTTTCCCTTTAACTTTCACCTTCCAGGTCTTATCTCTGATCTTCAAATCTCTAAAGTTTGAAGAGCTACTCTCAGGCCTGTCCAGCATAGAAATCTTGTCTTTGATGAGAGTGGAGTAAGCTATAGAGACAGAGAATTTCCCTTTTTTATCTCCAAGCCAGATCCATTCATCATCCATGTGAGGCTGTAGAGTGCTGATGTTGAGGATGGACTCAGCTGTGCTTCTATGGAAGAGCTGATATAGAAGTTCAGCATTCCAGCTTGTCCCATCACTAAGCAAAAGGTCCTTGATCCAATGGCAATGATGTTGTACCCCTGGTTTGAATTTAAGTCTTTGAGATTCCATTGATGGAACCCAGGGATATCCCAGAATAGAAATACAATTGCCATTATTAAGCTGAGCCTTCAATAACTTATCAAACTTGGGCTTAATATCCATCCAAGAATTCCTGATCCAAGACCCTCCATTTTTAATCTGAGCATCACAAAAATCCACATCAGGGAAATACCTAGAATTCAAGAGCTTGCAGACTAGAAGATTTGGTTGAGTTGCTAACTTCCACAGCTGTTTCATGATCATAGCCTCGTTGAAAAGTCTGAAATCTTGGAATCCAAGACCCCCTTGATTCTTAGGAATAGTAACGTGTCTCCAAGCTATCCAATGCACTCCTCTTTCCTGAGAAATGTTCTTACACCACCAAAAACTGGCACAAAGTTTTGCCATTTCATTGCATATAGTAGCAGGGATTTTGAAACAGCTCATAACATATATAGGCAGTGCACTAATAACAGATTTGATCAAGACTTCCTTTCCAGACGGGGTCAAAAGCTTGCTCTTCCAATTATTGATTCTCCCTTTGACAGCTTCCAACACAAAAGAGAATGTTTGAACTTTAGTTTTACCAATCCCCAAGGACAGTCCCAAACACTTTGTTGAGGAGTGTTCAATGATATTATTCAGGATATAGCAGAAACTTCTCCTCAGTTACTGTGGGGAATTTTTGCTGAAATAGATAGAAGATTTGCCCCAATTGACTTTTTGACCAGAAAAGGATTGATATTTAGCAAGAATATCCATGATTTGGTAGGCTTGGTTGCTGTCAGCTTTACAGAAGACAAGAGTGTCATCAGCAAAAAGCAGATGGGAGATAGTTGGTCCATTTCTAGAGATTCTTAAACCCTTTACTCCCCCCAACCCTACTTCACGCTGGAATAGGGCAGAGAAGACCTCAACAACCAAGATAAAAAGGTAGGGGGATAGAGGATCCCCCTGCCTAATACCTCGAGAAGGAGTGACCAATCCACCAACAGAACCATTGATACAAAAAGAAAAGGAAGTAGAGTTGATACATCCCATAATCCACTGAACAAACTTATTAGGAAAACCCATTCTTTCAAGTACTAACCTGACACTGTTCCATTCAAGTCTGTCAAAAACCTTGAGCAGATCAAGTTTGATGGCCATGAATTGGTTATTTCCTGTTATGTGTCTGCTGAGGAAGTGAAAGATCCCTTGTGCAATTATGACATTGTCCATGATAGACCTTTCATTGATAAAAGCTGCTTGGGAGTCACTGATGCATGATGGTAAGCAGGATTTGAGTCTGACAGCCAAAATCTTGGAGATAGTCTTGTAAAGTGTGCCACAAAGACTGATTGGTCTGAAGTTGTTGAGAGAGTCAGGATATAAGTATTTTGGAATGAGGGATATAATGGTATGGTTCCAATATCTCGGCATCCTCCCATATTTAAAATAGCTCTTGATAGCTTCACACACATCATCTTTGAGAATTGGCCAGAAATGTTGAAAAAAATCCCAGTCATCCCATCCTCACCTGGGGCCTTCTCAGGATGAAGGCTGAACAAGGCTTCTGTAATCTCTTTGTCTTCAATATCTGCAATGAGCTCAGAGTTTTGCTGATCAGAAATGGATTGAGGAATGTAATTGAGAATTTCAGTGTGTCCTAAAGGGCCATCAGAGGTGTAAAGCTTTTCATAGAAATTGCAGACACAAGTCTGGATCATATGGTGATCCTCAATAGAATGGCCATTTTCATCTGTGAGTCTAGTGATGGCATTCAATTTCCTTCTGTGAGCAGTGAATGCATGGAAAAATTTTGAATTTTTGTCACCATCTTTCAGCCATAAAATTCTGGACTTCTGTTTCCAAAAAAGCTCTTCATCATGATATGCTTTGTTCAACTCTGAATTAAGTCTGTTCCAAGAATCCCAATCTCTGTCACCAGAAGATGTTCTGATTTGTTCAAGGGCATTTGTGAGCACTTTGATTCTCTGCTGATTTTCAGAGTGATGACTGTTGCTCCATTTCAAAAGAGCTATTCTTGTTGCTTTAATCTTCTTTTTAACTCTGAACATAGGAGTCCCTTCAACATTCTGAGTCCAAGCCTTTGATACAATCTCAGAAACTCCTTCCTTGGCCAACCACCTCTTATCAAAGCAAATTCTTCTTTTCTTTTTACCAGAGAGAGGGTCAGAATTTATGTAGAGCATGCTGTGATCAGAGGAGCTTCTGAATATATTTTCCGCTGTAGCTTGAGGATGATTAATAGACAGGAACAGAATGCCCTATCCAGCTTCTCCTCTACAAAGCCCTCCTATGATCTGTTATTAGCCCAAGCAAAAGTGTAGCCTTTCCATTTGATGTCTATCATTCTCATGTCAGAGATAAGGGAGTCAAATCCAGCCATACTGATAGGAGTTCTAGTGACTCCCCCTTTCTTCTCTTCACTGTTGCAGATATCATTCATGTCTCCTGCACAGAGCCAAGAAGTTCCCCGCTTTGCCTGCATATCCCCTTAATAATTCCCATTGATGATGCCTGATATTCCTGATTGAGCTTAAGTAAACAAAAATAATCCAAACCGGATCTGAGTGAATCCCATCAGAATATTCAACCTCCATACAGAAGTTGTGACTGATAATTTGATGGATAATTACATCTTTCCCCCACAACAGAAGCAAACCCCCTGCTGAACCAACATGATCAACTAGGAGATGTGAAAATATGTTGCCCTTCACTCACTTTGAGCCACTCTCCAAATTGGCCATCCTACAAGGCATTTTTGGCAATATCTCCTTTTCTTTTTTTGCAATCCTTGTCCAAATGGCCTAGAGTTCCACAGTAATAACATAAATTGACAAGCTTCTCGTACTTGAAGCTAACCTTGATAATTTCATCCCCCAGCCTAACATTAGCACATCTCAAAAGAGGCTCTTTAACATTGATGGCTGCCAGAATTCGAATAACCCTTTCTTCACCTGAATCTCCTGCCCTGGTAATAGTGACGTTTTTTGCTCCTTTAAACAGGTTTCCAATCTTGAGCCCAACCCCCGGAGATTGCCAGTGAAAAGGCACATTAAATATATTTACCCAGAGATGCAGGATGTCAAAGCAGGGATGATTGCACCTTATATTCGGCTGCCATTCTCTCAGAATAAAGTATTGGTTATCATATACCCAGCTATTACCATAGGCAACTTTCTGGAGATCCTCAACATTATCAAAAATGAACTGGAAAAAGTTGTTGCTTAGTTCTCTAACTTCAACAGCTCCTTGAATTTTCCAAATCTGGCCGATGGTTCTTTTAACTCCGAAAAGGCTCGTCGATCTGTCTCTAATAATCTTGCCAAACAAGCTTTTTTGGCATTCTGACTTGCTAACTTTGGTATCATCCTGAGCAATATCCACAATCGAGTTTTCTGCCTCCAATAATGAAAACTTCTCCAACTTCTGCTCCAGTTCCACTTCCACACTTTGTTCCTTCCTCGTGTTGCTGCTTGATGCCATGAGGAACTAATTGAAGAAAACGAAGACTGAGCTATCCAATTGACAAAACACGCATGAATTATCGATCCCAACTGAGATAATTATAGTTCCCAAAGGGAGAATTAGGGTTCCCAAAGGGAGAATTTGAAATATAAGTATTCATCCTATTAGTTTTTGTACAATTTTACCCATGACATAGGGAGGATGGAGAATTTTAATTTTCACTTGTTTGGTTGCAAATAATTAGGAGGGGAGAGAGAGGAAAATTTTAAGTAATTTTCCCCTCCGCTCCCTCACTTTTTCTTCCCTCCAAAATTGGAGGGATTTGGAGGTAAGTGTTATATGATGATGTTAAATGAAAATTTGGTCCTTACATTCAATTGTTTTTTAATTTTTTATCTTAGTTCATTAAGGGTAAGTTTGTCATTTTAATTTTGTTTTCCCTTCTTTTAGTTTTTTAACCAAACAAGGTTTACCATTTTCCCTCTCTTTTCCTCCTAAATTACCCCTCCAAACAAGATAAATTTTTTTACATCACCTCCCCTCCCCTCCCATCCCTTTCTCTCCATTGAAATCCCTCTCCTCCCTTCCCCTCCATTGAACCAAACACACCCTTAAAGTGTAATATATAAAACATATTGAAATTGCAACTAGACCTCTAAAAATTATCAAATTCACAAAAGCAGGCTCTATCCATAATTCGATAATCATTTGATTTTCATGTTGTTCATCTCCTGCCGAGCACCTCATCTTGCGGCCACCGATGGACCTTCACCGGGGTTGCCGTCACAACGCCACCATCATCGACCACCTTGAATTCAACAACCTTATCGTCCCGGATGGCTGTCCCCGGCAACCATAATGCCAGTGGCCGCACGCCGTTGCAACAGGCGTTCATTAGTGGCCACGACGTCGTCGTAGGGGGCATCTTTTGTTAAGAGGTGGGGGGATATTATGGCGAACGATGAGTGGCAGACAGAATGTGACGCTGATGGGTGGCTTAAGGATGGATGCAAAGCCTAGATTTTTATTTACTATTTATGGAGCTCGACTATATTTCTATAAATATTAATTTTCTCAATTTGGTGCATTTATTATATTTATTTACATTAAATTAAATAATTAGTATTAAAGTCTAAGCCATAGAAAATTTATTCGATTTTAATTATTTATGTCAGATTTATCTATCCCAAGTATCGATTATATTTTTAAAACCCGAGCTTTGGATTAATCCAAATTTTATTTAAGCAAATCGAAGATAATTTGACAATTCGAGCCCAATTAATTTTGAGCAAATCCAATAATTCTAGCCGGCATATTTTTTATTCGGGTAGTCGAATTTATTTCCAAGTTCAAGCGATATTTTAAATATCGAGCCCTCTAGTATATTTATTCCTGGCCCAATATTAATTTTCGGCCAAGTCGAAATTATTACTACAAGCCGTCATATTTTTAATTAACCAACCATTTATATTCCTAAGTCAAGACTAGTAATTATCCTAGCCCAAGTCGATATAAAATCGAGCCCAATATCTTAGCCCGATTATATAGAGATTTTAAGCCCGGTTTTAAAGCCCAATCCTACTCAAACTCTAGTCTCCTACACCATGCTATAAATAGATCCCCTTGTCTCCCAATACACCAACATTCAAGAAACTCTAGCCTCTATTTCTCCCTACACACTATTCATCTTCTCCATCCTTAGCTAAATTCAAGATCTAAGCTTGTAAGCACTTACATTTTTCAAGATCTTGTGTTGAAACACACAAGATGTAAATCCAAAACCCACCTTAAAAATCAAGAACTTAAGCTATCTTTCTCCTTCAACCTCCATGGTTTGAGATTTTCCAGCGAGCTCACTTGTTTTTCGGCCACAGCCGCGCCGGCGATGAACAACCAACCTCTGCCTCCTCAGGTCGAGCACACCACCAACCCTAGCTCGCATCCATGCACGTCAAGCTTCAGCCCGAGCCTCCCAGCTCCTCACCGCGTGGTCCCAGCCGAGCCATCGTCTTCCCAGCTCGAGCTCTGCCTCCCAAGCTCGGACTCGCACCCCAGCGTGCCTCCTTCATGTCCGGTGGCCATCCTCTGCAGCTTCCACGTGAAGGCCCGCAGCCAAGCTCCCCCGCAGGCCCGCACCTCACGCCACGACCACCCGCTGCAGCTCAAAACCGGCTAGTTCAGCAGAAATCCGCGACCTCAGCAGAATCCGACCTAACCAGTAGTAGACCCGACCCGAGCATCCTAAAACTGGCCTGTTCAGCAGCTCCACAGCCCGAGTCCGACCCGACAGCACCCTAGTAGCTCAAGATTCGAACCGATTTGCTCTTTCCCTTCATTTCTTAGCCGATCTATTTTTTGACCTGTCGTTTTCGAGCTTTTAAAGGTATAATCGATAAAACTCAATTTTTTTGGCTTAGACTTAATGTTATTAACGAGATAAGAGAAAAGAAATTGTGATTTGAGCGATTTTGATTAAAACGGGACATATAAGCTTAAATCTATTTTCGGGACCTCGTTAAATAGTTGCGATAAATTATTGAAATAAATACCATTAAATTCGTTGTGATGTCTTGAGGCGTAGGTTCAAATTTGATAATTTTCGGACGTTGTTTGGTAGGCAAACGAGCCGGTCAAAGGTGTTGACCGGTCGTAGCAATTGTGAGTTGACTAGGTTAGGAGTTGCCGTTTGACTTATTATGTTGACCGTTGACTATTAGTATATTGAGGATGCTACGATTCGAATTTCATAAATTTTGCATACCGTTTGACTTAGTTATAAGATCTGGACTTTAGCCGAGGAATGCGATATTTTAGAAAATTAGTCGGATATGATTTTAGCTGTAGTTGTTGATTTTAAAATTAATATAAATTGCATAAAATATATATATTAATTATCGGCCTTAATTGAGTTAGGATTTTCGAGAATCGGAACCCTAGTTTTATCCGGTTCCAATAACCGGGTATTGTTCTGGATCCAATTATAGATGTCTGAACCCTAGTACCGTCTGGATAATTTTTAGCCATCGTGTCGTTTAATTCGTAATGCGTACCGTCGTCCCACACACGCGCTCGACTCTCGTCCGACTGTTGGAGTCGAACCGCCGAGTGCGTGCCCGTGCACCGAGTCCAAGCAAACCACAGAGTGCATGCCCGTGCACCGAGTCCATCCAACCTACCATCTACACGCCATATCCGTTAGCCGTGGTCCAAGCACGCCCCTGCGTCAGTGACTGTGGCCCCGTTTCAAACCCGTGCATCGACTAAGCCGTGTCAGTCGAGTTCGTGCTGGCCGGAGTTGCCACACCGAACTCGGACCATGGTCAAACCGAGTTGCACATAGTCAAGCGAATGATCGACCGGCTTCGAGTGAGATGTCAGTCCAATTAAGTCGAACCGATCCGGTCAGTCCGGACAGTTCGAGATAATTTTCAAATATCGTCCAGATAAATTTGAGATCCAGTCAGATTAAGATTTCAGATATAGTTAAGATTTCAGAAATGTTTAAGATTTCAGATATATTTAAGATTTCAGATAAAGTTAATATTCCAGATAAATATAAGATCTAAATATAGTTTAGATTTCAGTCAGATTAGATTAAGTCAGATTTTAGTTCCAGACTTAAAAATATTTCAGAGAACTCTAGAATGTCTCAAAGACAATAATATTTTCAAATCAGCTCGTAAATCCCTAAATGATTTTTAAAGCCGAGTGAGCGAACCTAGATATATAAGATATTAAAGAATTGAGTTTTATTCTGAGCCAGTACTTAGAATATTTCGCTCAATATGTCAGATGTCAGTTATGACTTAGATGTCAGATGACAATTATGACTGATGAGTGGGCGAGGTCTAGCCTATGTCCAACATCCAGATGAGTGGGCGATGCCCAGCCTGTATTTCTGTGGGAGGGGACCCCCAGAGTGTGCAAATGAGTACCGGTTTACGGTTAGTCCCATAGCCAGACCAGTTTATTCATATATATGTTGGTTTCATACTTTGTTATTAATTGTGCTGAGTATTCAGTGCCGGTCCTGGTGGAGCACCGTTGATTCCTTTGTGCTCATGCCTCCCCACTACCCCATTTTTTAGGTGATGGAGTCCCGCGTGGAGCGTGAGCGGATATGTGGTGGTGGTTACCAATGTGTTTGTCCCATTTATGTTGCATTTTTAGTGCTTATTTTATCTTTCTTTTTCCCCCGCTTTAGGTCTTTTCATTGGTTTTTAGGTTGTTTTGTTGTTTATTGCATGTTTTGCTCTTTTGTGGTTTTCTTTGTGTTTCCGAATATTTTTTTTTGTTTTTCTTTGTTTATGGTGTGCAGGTCGAAAGTCTTGAAAGGACCGAATTTTGGGCAAAAATTGACCGTGGAGGCATAATTAGGTAGGCGGGTTTGTTGGGAACGAGCAGGAAAAAAAACGTAACGTAATTCCGAGTCTAAATGAGTTCAAATGGGCCCAAGACGCAAGACATGCACAAAAGCATGCAGCTCACAGTCCCAGCCACGCACCACTCTCGTGCCGCGCCACCGCCACAAGACGGACAGAGCTCCTAGGCCCCAGCTCCGCACCGCGCCGGACTGCCGCGTCTGCCGCGCCGCGTCGGTGCCGCGATTGAGATAGAGCTCCCAGGTCCGTCCGCCACGTTGCGCTAAGTCCTCGCGCCGCGATACGTTGCTCTGCCACGCCGCGGCACGCCCTCGCGCCACGGTTCACGATCTCTTCATGCCGTGCTGCTCCTCGCGGCGTCCTCCACGCGCAGCCAGCAGACTCCCAGCTCGCGCTGCTCTACTCCCTCATGCCGCGGTACAAGGCAGCCCCACACCGTGCCAGATGCGTCGTGCCACGACACGACCAACCTTCATGCCGCGGTACCATAGTTTCTCACGCCCGTGCACCTATTTAATATAAATACTTGTCGGGACTTCAAAAAAGATACCACCTCTCGACCGCGGGTCAAAACCCTTGGTCACGAGAACACCACGAACTCTTCCTTTCTCCCTCTCTTCTTCTTCTTCTTATTCTTCTTCTTATTCTTCTTCTTCTTCTTCTTCTTCTTCTTCTTCTTCTTCTTCTTCTTCTTCTTCTTCTTCTTCTTCTTCTTCTTCTTCACTTTTCTTTCATCTTTTTCTTCCATTTTTTTTTCTGATTCTTCTTCGGATTTAGCTTGTATTATGAATTCGACTTTGGAACTTGGATTGATTGTAAGTATTCATTTCTCTTGTTTAATTTATGAATAATGATTATTTAAGAGGATTGATTATGATTGTTGAATTGGTTATTCATAGCTAAATCTGATTGCTAGGGATAGGGGATGATTGTTCTTGTTTAATGTGTAATTATCTGGCTTGAATTGTTCGTTCTTGTGTGGGTTGAGTTAATTTAGAATTGTTGAATTCTTGTTCGATAGATTGAAATAATCGAAAAGTGACATTTTGATCTCGCTATTGGTGACAATTGGATGTTAATTGTCGAGCTAGGGTTTTTTGATTCTATACTCTTCTAATTGACTTAGCGGCTTTCAGAACCGAAAGGGGGGAAGTCGTAGAAATAGGCTCACATGGGGTAGATGATTTTGTAGTTGAATAGTCTATAGGTTTTTGATTGAAATACGTGCGTGTAGATGACCCATCCCTTGTTACGTGAAGTTATTGAGATTAGGATAATTGGCGTGTATTGTATGCTCGAGCTTGCTCGTCTATGTTCAATCCCTTGTTACGAAAAGTTATTGGGAGCCAACCGCTAGATGTCTAAGCGAGAGTGTCAATCTCGAACCGAACGATTAATTGCCCGGTTTTGCTAGAATTTGAATTAATTGTCCCCGACTCCCTAGCTTCTCCATCTTGGTTTCGTCTGCATTTTTAGGTAGATTATTATTTTTATTTTATTTCTTAGTTAATAATTCATCCAATCTGTTATTTGATTAGAGTGT